TGCTGTGATAAGATTGCACCGACTATATTCATTTAAAAATTAAATATAATAACTTACAATAAGTAATTGAATTTTTATATAAATATATTGTGTAGAAATACATTATCTAACATACATTTTACATATTTTTCAGTTTACCATTCTAACTGGAATTGGACCGAATGCCCATTTGTAATTTACTAAAGTTTGGGACCTATATTGATATGAATTATCAAATTCAGATTTAGTACTTTCGCATTTTTATTACTTAGTAATCTCATTGTTCGTAAAATGATCCGAAGTCGAGTACTCGCGTTCGGTAAGTGATCTTGTTGACTCGGTTTTCTCATATGTTTGTGATCTCGTTAACCCTGCTCTTGACGTGGGTAGAAAATTTATCTATCAGCTGTTTGATTTTTTTGGTTATGTGTTATGTTTAGCTTATATGTTTTGTTTCCGTTTTTTCAAGTTTTGTGTTTGAATTCTTGTGATTTGTTGTGTTTAGGGTGATTTGCAGTGTCTTTGAAAAGTCAAAGGTAACCACCGCCACCTGGTTGCGACAGTTGGGTAAGGGAGACTTTGTTTTAGCTCTGGTAAAGGCCTTTTTGTACTGCGGTAGCATGCCACCAGGGACTTTGTTTTAAGTCCCACTGAAAATCTAGGTAACTTTGAACGGATACTTTTTAGTAATCTGATTGGATTTCCTCTTCTAGTGCGGGTTCTTGCTACCTGAGCTGTACGCAGTTAGTTGGAATGCTAGCTCAAGGTTTTCCAAAGGAAATAAAAGAATCAGTTTTTCTTACTAAACTCTAACAATGGTTTATTGAACAAATGGTAAATCTTGGTAAGGAAATGAAATAAAAGCAAGGAATATACAGTAGGTTATTAAAAATGTTTATTGAAATGAAATGAAAGAAAATGCATATGGAGATTTGGAATGATAGGGAGTGAAATCATTGAATGAGCGTCTTGTATAAGGCGTTCCTTGATGGTACAAGTTACATGAGAATTTAAGGATAAAAAGATACAGAAAATAAAAACTAGGTTATAACTCTTAATGGGTAAAAGTCACGGGCGTCCTCGACAAGGGAACGACAAAACAGCATTGTTATTCAGGGTAAGATAAATTTTGGAAAAGAGATTTGAGTTGTCAAGCTAACCCAATAGTTCTGTTCTTTACACAGGGGAGAAAATAAATAATAGACAGAAAACAACAATCATAATGAATAAATTAAAATACTTGAAATTGAAACATTACCTACGGTCTCGGAAAGGGAGTTAGCAGAAAGACGTCAACACTAAACACCAGAACTTCGTTACAGAACTGAATGAATCTAGGAGATTCACTGGCTTATTTATGTTACTGGTTAACCCTGCTCTTGACATGGATAGAGAATTAATCTATCAGCTGTTTAATTTTTTTGGTTATGTGTTATGCTTAGCTTATATGTTTTATTTCCGTTTTTTCAAGTTTTGTGTTTGAATTCTTGTGATTTGTTGTGTTTGGGGTGATTTGCAGTGTCTTTGAAAAGTCAAGGGGAAAGACCTAACTGTTACCACCGCCACCTGGTTGCGACGGTTGGGTGAGGGAGAGTTTGTTTTAGCACTGGTAAAGGCCTTTTTGTACTGCGGTAGCGTGCCACCAGAAATTTGTTTAAAGTCCCACTGAAAATCTAAGTAATTTTGAACGGATACTTTTTGGTAATCTGATTAGATTGCCTCTTCCAGTGCGGGTTCTTGGTACCTGAGCTGTACGCAGTTAGTTGAAAAGCTAGGTCGGGGTTTTCCAAAGGAAATGAAAGAATCAGTTCTTCTCACTAAACTCTAACAATGGTTTATTGAACAAATGGTAAATCTTGGTAAGGAAATGAAATAAAAGCAAGGAATATACAGTAGGTTATTAACAATGTTTACTGAAATGAAATGAAAGAAAATGCATATGTAGATTTGGAATGATAGGGACTGAAATCATTGAATGAGCGTCCTGTATAAGGCGTTCCTTGATGGTGCTAGTTACATGAGAATTTAAGGATAAAAAAATACAGAAAATAAAAACTAGGTTATAACCCTTAATGGGTAAAAGTCACGGGCGTCCTCAACAAGGGAATGACAAAACGGCCTTGTTATTCAGGGTAAGATACATGTTGGAAAAGAGATTTGAGTTGTGAAGCTAGCCCAATAGTTTTGTGCTTTACACAGGGGAGAAAATAAATAATAGACAGAAAACATGATGAATAAATAAAGATACTTGAAATTGAAACATTACCTAAGGTCTCAGAAAGAGAGTCACAAGAAAGACGTCAACACTAACACCAGAACTTCGTTACAGAACTGAATGAATCTAGGAGATTCACTGGCTTATTTATGTTACTGGTTAACCCTGCTCTTGACATGGATAGAGAAATAATCTATCAGCTCTTTAATTTTTTTGGTTATGTGTTATGCTTAGCTTATATGTTTTGTTTCCGTTTTTTCAAGTTTTGTGTTTGAATTCTTGTGATTTGTTGTGTTTGGGGTGATTTGCAGTGTCTTTGAAAAGTCAAGGAGAAAGACCTAACTGTTACCACCGCCACCTGGTTGCGACGGTTGGGTGAGGGAGACTTTGTTTTAGCACTGGTAAAGGCCTTTTTGTACTGCGGTAGCGTGCCACCAGAAATTTGTTTAAAGTCCCACTGAAAATCTAAGTAATTTTGAACGGATACTTTTTAGTAATCTGATTAGATTGCCTTTTCCAGTGCGGGTTCTTGCTACCTGAGCTGTACGCAGTTAGTTGAAATGCTAGGTCGGGGTTTTCCAAAGGAAATGAAAGAATCAGTTCTTCTCACTAGACTCTAACAATGGTTTATTGAACAAATGGTAAATCTTGGTAAGGAAATGGAATAAAAGCAAAGAATATACAGTTGGTTATTCACAATGTTTACTGAAATGAAATGAAAGAAAATGCATATGTAGATTTGGAATCATAGGGAGTGAAATCATTGAATGAGCGTCCTGTATAAGGCGTTCCTTGATGGTGCTAGTTACATGAGAATTTAAGGATAAAAAGATACAGAAAATAAAAACTAGGTTATAACCCTTAATGGGTAAAAGTCACGGGCGTCCTCAACAAGGGAATTACAAAACGGCCTTGTTATTCAGGGTAAGATACATGTTGGAAAAGAGATTTGAGTTGTGAAGCTAGCCCAATAGTTTTGTTCTTTACACAGGGGAGAAAATAAATAATAGACAGAAAACATGATGAATAAATAAAGATACTTGAAATTGAAACATTACCTAAGGTCTCAGAAAGAGAGTCACAAGAAAGACGTCAACACTAAACACCAGAACTTCGTTACAGAACTGAATGAATCTAGGAGATTCACAGGCTTATTTATATTGGCAGCTTGATGCCGCTTTTGGGATTCTTATCGGTTGCAAAACATGCGGTTTGTTCATTGAACCAGGAGTCGAGAGTCGTATTTTAAGACACAATCAGGACACTGTTTCGGGATCCGACTGATAACCCTTGGCTCTTGATCTTAAAATATATTCTGTAATCTACAGGAAGTGCAGAATTAGAAATTGTCTTCAGGCAGCTATAGGCTCATAGAAATTCACAGAACTGCCCATAGCTGTGCACAGAACTGACACATATATCTCGCTGAGTAAAAAAACCAATTAATTGTATTACGAAGCAAAATAAAAGGATTTTTGAGGCCGTTTTGTTACATAACCTCAAATCGTTGAAGAGAAACAAACGCGGGTACCAGCGAATGGCGATAGTCGATTCCAATAGTCCGGAAATGTTGAATAATCTACTCTGAAAATGAGCTAAACCGCAATCAGCTGATATTAACCTACTCGATTCAGGATTTACATTTCCGAAAAGATGACTTTGAAGGTGATTTGACTTGAAAAACTCATACATTTCGAAAACCTTTGCCTTTCAATACTCGTAATAATTATCAGTTCACATGTAATTACCTATTGCGGATGATAAACTTGTCAACTGCTTCCCAAAAATGAAGCTTTTTATTTTCAAATAAGTTTCATCAATAATTCTCTAGCTATTAGATTTAATTTAATTTAATATATCTCCATAAATCGAATCCATCAATTCAAGAAGAATAAAAGAGCCAAGTATGTCGTCTTTTCCAATAATAAAGCTCGAGAACTTGCAGCACGACCGAATTTATATGGAAAGAAGTTCGAGCGAAACGTCCGAAAAGATATGTGCACGAAGTTCTGCACTTCTTTCATAGAAATCAGGAGTTGTTCGCTACCATAATGGAGAAAAATGACAAAAAGTACACACAAACCCACTCTATATATATTATGCCTGAGGAAGATAAAAGTGGAGAGTTTCGGATAGAAATATAACCAGCCAAATGGATTAGGCTCTATGATAATAGAATGAGTTGTTAAATCGAAAATCCATTATCTAAACATCGGATATAAACCCGGAAAACCAATCAGGCTCCATAAAATTTGACGCGGGACATAACGATGATAAACTGAAACGCGGTTCTGGGACCGCGTGGGCATAAATAATATCCGGTCCGGGTCTGAAAATCAAATTAGCCATCCCTTCGGTATTTAATATGAAAATCGTTACTAATTAAACGTTGCGGCGAATACAATTTTAGTATCACTGCGTGCATAAGTAAATTGTGTGATGTATTAACAAACCAAAATTAAACAAACTGAACTCAGGTTATTTATTTTTAAGATCTCTAAAGAAAGAGGATGAAATTATGAATGGCTGTATATATATATATATATATTTGTCTTTAGAGGCAATAGTTATATCAGGATAAGTCCCAAAGCTACTAATCTTCTCTTAATCTTTTAGACCCATATTAATACTAATGATTTAGTTTCATAGCATACAAAACCTTTGTTACACAATGTATACAAATTATAATAGATTCAAAATTTTATAACGTAATCAAATCCTTAGAAAAAAAAATCTTATTGATACTAACAATAGAACTAAACAATCCTCTCCGGGGAATCGACACACGTTCTCGAACACGTCTTACCTTGAACCCGTCATACGTCCAACTGCCGAACTTGAGTACGCAAGTCTGTTCGTCGAAAGGAAAATATTCGACGTCAATTTCGCAAGAAGACTTGTAAATGGCCGGAGGTTTCCATTCGACCAATCCCTGATGGTAAATCGTTGCTTTTGTTGCTAGCGTCACTTCGAAATTGCCGTCGGCGCTAAAAGTTGGACACAGTAACCTCAACCTCAACCTCAATTTCCTGCTTTGATTTGTCACAGAAAAACAAAAAAATTGATTTTTGAATCACTGATTTCTACACAAGTAATTGATCTTTGATTTGTTTCATGGTAACAACTGAAGTTTTTTTGAGTGGAAATCAGTGAAATTATTCCAGAAAGGAAAGGTTTCGGAGGTGAGAACTAGCTGGAAGTTAAGAATTTCGGTGAAGCGTGATAGATGGTGAAGATGGCAAATGAAAAACTACATTCTTGAGGGCGGCCTGTATCACTTCATTTAACATTCAAAAGCGTATCCATATAATCCACTATACTTACCAAAAAAAAACTAATAATATAGACCCTAAAGCTGTGAATAATAATGAAGATGAGGTTAAAAAAATAGTGTCAAGCATTGATGAAGTGAGTTCATTGTGAAACCTACAGCTTTGGAAATTTATTTTTAAAAGAAACACTGCAATGGTTTGTTACTCTATATTTGTTTGGCATGAAGTATCTGAAATAATATTGGAAGTTGCTCCAAAAAGGTGTACTGTCTCCACTGATATGATCACTGGTAGTAGATGAACTTCTCATCGGGCTAATCGTCCAAGGATCATGGTTCTGGGCTTAGACAAGGAAAGAGAGGGGACTCGTAATACAGCAGGTGAAAATGAAGCAGTTTGCCACTAAAAAATGTCTGCTTTTTTCATAACATAACCTAGAAAGCATATTGTTTTTTGCCTGTTAAATGTAATCCCGTCGACTTTTTTTTCTCTGCGGGTTTTGCAGCCATACGCTAGCAATCTACCATGCTGAATATCACAAAATTGTTAGTCTGAAGTAAAATTCACATAGTGGCACCATGAAAAATTTTCACCATTATTTGGTGGCAAACGGTCACAACCAGCTGCTAGTGCAGGTAAAGGATGTTACGCGTCCTCTCTCTTTCCTTGTCTAAGGTTCTGGGATATGGTGACAACCTCACAGACACCATTAGGGGTAAGCATGATAGGATCATTATTGACCTCATGCAAATGTTGTTACGATAAATTTATCATTTACGTAACATGTTCCATCTCTTTTTATTTTCATTATAAAGTTGTATTTTTTCCATTTCAGAATCAGCAAAATAATAATTCCTAATATTCTAAAAATATCCACAAAGTTCAAAATAATACAAGTTCTGCCATCTATCCATCATGTGTAAAATGCAAATATCTATTAAATCATGGTGCTGCCATCTAGTACCTCATGGATTTATTTTTCAAAGTATGATTTTAATTATTTCGCATTTAACAGTCATTTGTATTTTCATTGGAAGAAACTATATTTATCTCACTTTTAGCAAATGCATATATTTCTGTTTTTCTCTAACTTCTGATTCTGAAATAATCATTTTTTGGCTTAATGAGCTAATTAATTAACAGTTTTTTTATTTTTGACATAACCTTAATTTAAAATATTATAATTCGTAAACAATTAAAATAATTCTAGTGGATTTTTAACTATTTTCTTTTATTCCATGTGGGTTTTCATTGTAAAGTGAATATGATCTTTTGGGTGTACTCGTTTGATTGGTTGAACTGGTTAAAATGCAGTTAAGTATAAAAAACACAGGATCGTTTTCCTGTGGGGTACAGTTTCTTAAACGTTCTCTTTCCTCGACAGTAGTCTAGCAGGCGAGTCCTTTTTATGTTTAATAATTTTTGCTTTGTATTTTTGGATTCCCCTTATAGATTTTTCAATATATTTTTTTGCTATCAACGCATATTATCATATCATTATTAAATTTTTACCTGATAAATCTTATCTTATCTATTCTTGAAATATAAATATTATATTTTAATTTTTTTTTATCTAATTGTGTGCTTTCATTTTGTGACTGCCGATTGGTAGTGCCACGTTTTCCTGAGGCAAGTCAATTCAGACTTTTGGACTTAAATGGATATTGCTGCTCTGGTTTTCAGAATCAATTGTTAGTGTGGGAATATTGAACCATTTGCTCAAAATAGAGTCGGTGAAAACAAAATTTGTGTGTCCATCCCTATCAACTCTTTATTGAATCCAGGCAGAGGCTTGAATAGCCATTTTCTGTTTGACTCCCTCAATTATTATCTCGACTAAAGGGTGTAATTTTTTTTAAATAGAAATCCAGACAGGTCGAAAATTGAGTTAAAAAGTTATAATTAAAACATCTCAAGAATTTTGACATATTCTGGATTTGATTGATTTCAACGTCAGGTTTATCTTGTAGTATCTATAATAGCTAGCTTTATTTGAAAGGAAAATTGTGTCTATTTGGGGGAGAATCCAAAGATTTAATTTCTTATTATTTTACCTTATTTTGTTCATATTTTTGCCTGCTAGTGCTACTGTCAGAAAAGCAGCATTTTGCTCAAATATAACGAGTATTTTAATTTAATGTTGCTATTATTATTTTAATTTTAGGATTAACTTACCGTTTTTCTCAATTATTTAATGATATTTTTGATTTTGTTGGAAGGGAGTGTCTGTACAACGATAGTTTTACTTTTTTTTTTTTACTCACTTTTTGACAGAATTCAGGGATTTAATATTCCAAATATTGGTGAACCTGATACTGCCTTATTCTTTTTTGGGTACCTACTCGACATAAAGATCACTGTTGGGTCTGGATCAGCTGGAGTGACGTCACCTCAGCAATCTATCCTCTTTCCTGGATACAGAAAACAACACGAAGAGCTCCAGTTCACGAAATTGAAACCCCAACACCCATTGAAGAGCTCCGGATTGGAAAGGTACTTGGTATCAGATTCACCAGGAAAAACCAAGCTGTCAACATTAAAATTTTACAGAGAGTAACATTGACTACTGTTACTATATGTTACTACTTATCTCTGGTTACTACATAATATTGTTAACAAAATAAAATAATTGTTTGTTGGATTTTGAGTGGTTTCATTTGCACATAAAGGGACTACACGTTATCTTAATTTTTCGAATTCCACGACCCTAGGTTATCTTATCTTAAAGTTCAAATAACTGATTAATTTGTAACAGGGTCGAATGCCAAGAATTCACTATTAGGACCGACCATAAACCTCTCACATTTGCTTTTCAATAATGTGCTGACAAAGCTTCGCCAAGACAACTCAGCTACATCAGCCAATTTACAACCAACCTACAGTATCTTGCGGGCAACGGAGACAATGTGGCAGACGCCTTATTCAGAATGGATGTCCTCAGATTCCCCACAATAATTGACTTCAATGAGCTGGCCGCGGCACAAGAAGCCGATGATGAGCCGAAAGACATTCTAAAAAACAACCAAACCTCACTAAAGTTCCAGAAACTCACATATGGAGCAGACCATCAAGGTGACTACTGTGACGTATCCACCAATGACATTAGACCCTTCGTGCCACAAAGCTGCGCCGCCAAGTCTATGATGTTTTCCACAACTTGGCACATCCCAATGGGCGAATCACTAACAAGATAGTTTCTCAACGCACATAACACAATGGGCTCGAAAATGCTTGCCATGCCAAAAATCTAGGGTAGAACCTCGGTAGAACGACACGTTCACGTACAGTCTACAACTTTTCTCAACCCAATGCCAGAGTCTCAAGGTTTTCGATACTGCATGACAATGATCGACCGTTTCACAAGAAGGCCTGAAGCAATACCCATAGAAGACATCACAGCAGACACAGTGGCCAATATATTCTTTGCGCTTATGGTTCTTGAACCATAAGCGCAACAAATAAGAAGTACCTTGCGGTGTAGGGGGTTCTCATCATATGCGGCAAACACTTTATTAACACAATTTCATGTTTCTTTTTTTGTCTAAAGACCTACAGCTGTATGCAAAATCCTCTTCACAGAGTCCTCTTTTAACTTTGAAAGTGACTTTGAAGGCTGTCACTTTCAAAAATTTGTATTTAGCAAGCAAAATAACGCGTGCCCTCGACTTTCAATGAGGCCATCAAAATCGATGCCACCCTATATATTATTTGAGAAGACATATTAAAGAATATATCTACCAATTTTCAGCTATTGCAACGATAACATTGTTCCTTCGGAAGAAGAGGGATAGTTTACGCCCAGCCTCAAAGGGTTGCGGCCATGAGAATCGAGGCCACCCATCCATTTAGTTTAAAGGTAACTATGAGCTATTCTTTTATGTGAAAATTATCCATTGCAACGATCACATAGCCATTAATATTGCCGGCTCTCCTACTATATGTACTATATTTTATATGTTTTTGTATCATTTTTTAGGTACCACTCCGTTTGGGGGGGAGTACTGTAGGAATCTACCGGCCAATTGTAACAACCTAAGAAAATGACGAAGAGAATAGGCTGGTAGGACTTGGCGTAGATAACCAGCTGTTTGAAGGATGTGAAGGAGAAAGTATGCAAAAATAAATAAAAAGTGTTTTTTTGTATGTTGATTGTGACCAAAATTTTACCTCCTTCTCTAATAACAGTAATTAATAGTATTGTGTGGTGCAGATTCCCACAGTTCATCATACAATTATTATTCAAATATTTTATTTATTATTTTTGCCATGACAAGTATCACATCCAAAATTATATTTATCCGAATGTGACATCGGATGAATTCGTGATTCTGGTTTTCCAAACTTTTTTTTATTGTACCAGAAAACAAATTACAATTAATATCATGAGGGATCACTTTAAATTAATTTGATTTCATAACGACGACCATTGAAACTTATCGTTTTTATTGAGCATTACCCAATTGGAATGTCTCATTTCCATGTTCAGTTCGCTGTTCGGCTGAGCATATGAATTTTCAGAGCAGATAGACCCAACCAGTTCATATAATATTGTATATTTTTAATAAATGGAATGAGTCATTTCTATGTTCAGTTCGCTGTCCGGTTGAGCATATGAGTTTAAAGGGCAGATAGATTAGTGAAAAGGGTCCTAATTTAAATAAAATGAGCGATCGTTATCATTATTTTATACAATAATATTTAGTTAAGTGTAGTAC